TGGATATATTGGAAGCTCTGTGAGCCACTCCCCAGACCACTATGACACAACTTCTTTTTTCATTTACTGGTTTTTTGTTTTTTGGGTTTTTTGGGGCTTTTTGCTTCTCTTGTGTCTGAGTGCTAACCTGTGAGACTGGGGAGAAAGTCTGATGTTAAAGCAATATTGGCTTCAGTGGTAAATTTCAAACGAGGTATTTTGAAACATCAAGGGTGTCCCAGAACCGCCTTGGGGACCTCTTGTATGTATTAATCTCTCGGGTTCCAAGTAAATAGAGCCCTGAGTTGTCAAGTCTCATTTCAACCAGACAGCTATGCTTGTTTTTATATTCTATGAGGGCTCACACTACCACTGGATTGAAATAAATGATTTCACATTGTAAAAGTTTTGAGAGCTAAAGGATGAAAAATCAGCATTAAAAAATTAATAACTTTTCTATATACCAATAATGACTAGCTGAAAAAGAAATCAGAAAAAATCCCATTCATAATACCATCAAAAATTAAATATCTAGGGATTAACTTAACCAAAGAGGTGAAAGACCACTATAGTTAGACTTGCAGAATGCTGGAGAAGCAAATAGAAGAAGACACTAGAAGATGGAAAGATCTCCCATGATCATGGATCAGCAGAACTAATATTAATGAAATGGCCATATTACCAATAGTGATCCACAGATTCAATGAAGGCTCCCTCAAACTTTCAATCACATTCTTCACAGAAGTAGAAAAAACAGTGCTAAAATTCATATAAAAACACAAACAACCCAGAATAACCAAAGCAATCCTAAGCAAAAAGAGCAAGGCTGGAGGCAGAAGAATACCTGATCTCAAATTATACTACAAATCCATGGTAACAAAAAGGGCATGGTGTTAGCACAAAAATAGACACGTACACCAATGGAATAGAGGACACAGAAAGAAACCTATGCACCTACACTCTAATTCTTGACAAAGGAATAAAAAAAACATACACTGGGGAAAAGACAGCCTCTTTAACAAATGGTGCTGGCGGAAAATAGGTATCCTCTTGTAGAAGGTTGATACTAGATCAGTATCTCTCACCCTGTACAAAAATCAATTCAAAATGGATAAAAGACCTAGGTATAAGACCTGAAACTTTGAAACTGCTGGGAAGTAACATAGGTGAAACACTTAAAGTCATAGGCACAGGCAGGCTTTTTGAATAGGACTTCAACAGCACATGAAATAAGAACAAGAATCAAATGGGAGTACATCAAATTAAAAATTTCTCTACAGCAACAGAAACAACTAACACAGTGAAGAGACAGCTTACAGAATGTGAGAAAATCTTTGCCAGCTACTCTTCCAACAGAAGATTATCATCTAGAATATATGGAAAACTAAAAGAACTTAACACCAAAAAATTAAATAAACCACTCAATAAATTGGCAAATAAACAGACACTTTTCAAAAGAAGAAGCAAAAATCGCCCATAAGTATATGAAAAATATTCAACATCTTTAGCCATTAGGGAAATACAAATCAAAACTATATTGAGATCAATCTCACCCCTGTCAAAATGGCTATCGTCAAGAATACAAAACACTACCAGGTATAGTAGCTCATGCCTTTAATCCCAGCACTTAGGAGGCTGAGGCAGGAGGATTTCTAGGAGTTTGAGGCCACCCTAGGCTATATACAATGAGTTCAAGGCCAGACTAAACTACATAGCAAGACCCTGTCTCAAAAACAAAACAAAACAAACAAACAAGGAAACAAACAAAAAAATCCAACAACAACAAATTGCTGTTGAGGATGCAGGGAGGAAAAGGAAAATTTTTACACTGCTAGAAGGAATGTAAATTAGTACAGCCACTATGAAAATCAGTATGGAGATTCCTCAAAAACCTAAAAGTAGAGTTACCATATGATCAAGTTAAATCACTCCTTGGTACCTACCAGAAGAAATTAAAGTCAGCATACTATAGGGATACCTACATACCCATATTTATTGTGGCACAATTCACAGTAGATATGGAACCAGCCTAGGTGTCCATCAACTGGGGAATGGGTAAAGAAATTGTGTCGTATACATACAGTGGAGTATTATTCGCATAAATATGATACAAACTATGCCATTTACAAGAAAATGGATGATATTAGAGATCATCATGTTAAGCAAAATAAGACAGACTCAGAAAGACAAGTATTGCATGTTTTTCCTAATATGTGGAATCTAAGAAAGATGACATGAAAATAGAGATCCTATTATTAGACAGGAAGAAAAGAATAAGAGGATGGAGAGGGGGTTGTAAGAGAGGGTAATGAGTGGATGGATATGATCAAAAGATGTGCATGTATGAAAATACTATATATATTGAAATCCAATAATTTGTAAAATGGAGAGGCACTAATAAAATATTTTAAAAATACATAAAAATAAAAACGCAAAATAAAAATGAAAGAAAAATGTCTTGAGAATTGCTGTGCCTCAGGAATACATTTGATGATTATTCTCCAAGATGAATATTCCAATTAAACACTATTTCTGTGAAGTTTTGTATTTATTTTATTTTTATCCTTCTCTTTGCAATGATAGAAAGACAGGAAAAATGCAGGCCTGCTCACGTGGGTTTAGTAATTGCCATATAGATTGTCATAATTAGCTAGGGGACTAGTAGTGCCTACAGCTGGAATTGTAGGGACTTTTGGTTATGTGTTAGTACGGTAGATCAGGTCTACATAAAGGGTCTCACCCTCCCTCTCAGGCCGGGAAGTACAAAATATGGCTTGATGGAGGGTGTATTGTCATTGGGAATCTATGTCTCCTTTCCAGCCTATTTGGATTCTAAATCTCAGTCTTTGAGGATGACTGTTGCTGAGGAAGGTAGAGGATATGATTTCTGAAGGCCAGACATTGTATCAGGGTAGTAAAACAGAATAGCCAAAGAAAAGAGGCAGTTGATACTCCAGACTGATACACATCATTGTGAAGGGCTCCAAGGGAAAATCTTTTAGTTTCTGGCATGGAGGGTGATGATGGGAGAGAGGTAGGGATTTTGATGCAGGGACAAATTGGATCTCCCACTTGACTGTTTGCCTTTGTTGTCCAAAGATAGTTGACTTACTTTTAACACTTCTCCTTGGCCTGATGAAAGGCAAGACCATCCCTTACTTTGGTGGCCTTGGAGCAGACAGGCAAAATATAAGCTCACTGCAAACCACCCTCCATCCTCTCTCCTCAATCTCCTAGCTCTGTCTCTTATCCCAAGGGCCATCCTCATCTGCCTGTAGACACCAACTTTGCACCTTGCCTCTCAAAGTGTAGACCCCAGAGCATCAGCATTACCTTTGAGCTTGTTAGAACTGCAGATTCTCGGGCCCCACACTGGGCCTGCTGAAATAGGATTCAAATTCTAGTAAGGTGCCCATTAAAGTGTGAGAAACACTGCCTTAGCCCACATGTTAGAACTCCATTGCCACTGACTAGAGGAACAATACCTGACCCTAGGCTGCTCCTCCAGATCCCCCCTAGGCTTGGTTTTACATTTAGGTGGTCTTCTCCTCAGCTTTGTAGCTTTCAGGTCTCAGCAACACACAAGGCTCTATGCAAATCCATCTCTGCCCCATCCCACCTGACATTTTCCAGCCCTTGCATGTAGATGTACTGCTGTGATTCCTCGTTTTTTAGTTCCACAGATCAGGGGGAGATATAGTATTTTTATATTGGGAAGCATTTCTGAAGAGACAAATAATTGCCTCTGGAAAGAGACTTCTTTTCTCTTCCAAAAATTCATATTTGCTGGTTGAAATTGATGTGACTATTTTTTTTGGCTAGAACTCTGTAGTATTCCACTGAGCAGTAATTATTCCTTTGGTGTTGATGGAGTTTATGAGAGAAGGGAACTAAATCTGAGAGAGTGAATCCATCTGGTACACTTGTTGAGGCTTTCTCTGAGGCCACTGACATTGAAACGTTAAATGCTAGATTTTTATCTGCTGGTATCATTTTGATATTGATATAATGTGAGCTAGTGCACTAGGTCACTGAACCAAAGGGTGAATTCCATTCCCTTACATGGCACTGGATGCCCCATGCAGTGGATTGATGACTTTCTTGGCAGAACACAATGGTAAGATGGACTTTGCATTCCAGTCCTGTCACCTAATTGTCAGGGCCTGAATGATCAAATATAGATAGTTAAAAGTCAGCAGCTGGAAGACTCAGTACTTCCCAGTACCTAAAATATCAAGTACTAAGTTGGAAGGATAGTAGGTGTCCCCCGCCCTCCTCTGGTAGGAGACTAATTCTACATTAGTCTGAAACCTCTAGTATTAAATGTGCATAATAAGGGCCACCAAGGGAGACTCACTCATTTCAAGCTTTCCTTTTTTGCATTCTGGTGAAGCCGGGACATGCTCCAGAACATCATTGAAGGCTATCCTGCTTGGTTGGGATGCCAGCATTAAGTCTAACTTTTTCTGGGCCTTTCCTTGGGGTGCTAGACTCTATCGCTCTACCTAGGTCCTAGCTAGGGTCCAATCCAAGCAAAACATTTTCAATACATGTTGCTGCCACCTGACTAGTGATTAGTATCACCATTGCCCCAAGTCTTTCCTAAGAAGATTGCTATTTGAAGTAGCCAGCTTGCATTTGTCATGGTTGTTTGGTTTCTGTGACTTGGATGGCCAGTCAACTTCTTTAGGGACAAATTGTGCTCATTGTCCTTGTCTCAGGAGCCCCCACTATCGCTATACAAGTTTTGCTGCAAAGTATAAGAAATAGCTTACTTTATCCCATAGTCTAATTACACATTCACAGGAAGCTGTGGATATCTTAATGTTCACTTGAGGTTGAACTCAAAGTTCCTGCCTTCCTTTTCCAAGAAGTATTAACCAGAGAGGCCACAGGGGATTTGCCAGTCTCCTGTGAAATAAAATGTATAAGATAACAAACAGCTAGCTGTTCAGATTTATTAGCAAAATCTGACTACTTTTTGCTTTTTGACATTTTTTTCTTTTTCCTTTGTACTCCAGTGTGAAAGAGACTCTCCAGGGCAAGTTGTCATTGGAAGGAATTCAGAGCTGCCATGTGTCATCAGTACATAGCTGAGGAGAAGCCACAAAAGGATTACCACTATTTCCCAAAAAAAGCTATTAAGAAGGTTATTGATTATTTTCCAAATAACTTCCACCTTCATCACAGGATATTGTGATCACTAAAGAGGCACTGTCAAGTATCTTTTAAAAATAGTTTTCTTCTTTTTATTTTCTTAATATTCACTAGGCTAGGTCTCCATTTAGAGCTCTCAAGTGATTTTTCTTTCTTTACCCATAACACTTATCCTTGCCCTTCTGGAAAATGGACTTGAATTGCTATTTCCGTCAGATGGCAGCTGGGTTTACTTAAAGATATTTGGGTAGGTCAGACACAAGTCCAGTTACACAAATCATTGTTGAATGCTGTCAACCTGTTGTCCCTGCCTCCTACACTTCCTTTCCTACTCTAACCTCTTACTGTTTTCTATATATGATTGGAGATACCATTTTTTTTCTTTCTGAACTCCAGGCTTTTAGGTACATGTCAGCAGGCTTTTTGGTGACATTTAAAGTAGAAAGGCATTTGATCTATATGATATCTAGCTGTCCATCACATGTAAGTTACCCACAGCATAACTAATATTAAACATAATGGCATCCATTATGATTAGCCTTCAAACCAATTCACTGGGGTATAGGAATATTGTAGCATTAGTCCATTAAGGATGTATAATGTTGGCGTTGGACCATCTCTCGATGGAGTTTCTCCCCTTTTGTGTTGATGGTTAAAGGTACATTTTGTTTCCTGTTATTCTGTGTTTATTCCAATACAGTGAGCATCACTGACCTACTAGTTAAGAGCAGTTGACTATATTCTACTACATTTCTTATTTCTCAATGCTCAGTTGAGAAAAAGAATTCTATCTAGAAAAGAGCCATTTTCTTCAGGTTCTGAACATCTGGAGGGCCCAGAACCATACACTACACTAATTTCAAAGTTGGAAACTTCCACGGGCTTCTCAAGCCTTCTAGCCACACTAAGAAGTGAAGTTTTCCTCTTCATTTTAAAATACGGGATCTAAGGTCATATCTCTTTCTTCTTTTGGTTTTTGTTGTTCTTTAGCTCATACAGGGGTATGGGTATGTAAACTTTGGCATTGGACAATTACCCATCATATGGCATGGTACGCTTCAGTTGGTACATTTGTTGCATCACAATTCAGAAGATGGTTTGTTTTGCCTTTTAAGATTTATTTAGCATATAGGTATGAAGGACCTCCTGTGAGCTAGGTGCTGTGCTGAACACTGGGGATGCACAGATGAGAAAGACACAGTCCCTGTTCTCAGGGAGCAAAGATGTAGATAAAATAGTTATCTGTCTAGCTGCATGAGGTCAAAATGATATGGAGTCTCCTGCTTCACACTAAAACTTTCTGTCTGAGGTTCTTCATCTTGGGATGAGGGTATGTGGTGGACACTCTTAGTTACTATCTAAAAGCTATTTCTTTCTTCTTTACTAAAAGAGTACTCATTTCCATTAGGTATGGAGCTAACAATTTAGTTAGGAGTTTTGATACTTTCAGCTTGTGCTAGACATTAGTAATGTTTACTAACTCATCCTTCACTCCAGAGAACATGAAAGACTAACTCCAAGCTCCCTGTAGTGAGTAGAATCATGTGGTTAGGTTTGCCCAAGGAGCTGGGAAGGCAAATGGCTGTGTGACTTCTGGGCTAAAACAGAGAAGAGCAAATGTGTGAGCTTTGCCAAGGTAACTAGCGACAATCTCTATGGCAGTGCTTCTGTCAGGTTTGGGTCCCTAAGTGACTATATGGAGCAAAGATCCTCATCATTTTGCACTGAACATAGAGCAGGGGTGAGAAGTGAACTATTATGGTAAGCCAGAGGAACTGTGAGGTTAATTTGTCAGCTAAGGTACAGCTGAAACCGTCCCTACAGGTTCATTATATTTCTTGTAGGATTGTACAGATCAGACTTCTATTTTTCTCATTCGTAGCTATGTTATTTGTGAACTTGTATGATCTTAGTCAAGTTACTTAACCTTCCTGTCCTTTGGTTTCCTCATCTGTAGCAGGGAGTTAATAATGCCTCCTCCCTCAGGGGGTCAGGGTGAGTACTGAAGAAATTAATACACAGGAAGCACCTAGAATAGGGCCTGGCAGATGACAAGTGCTATACAGTATTTGCTGTTGGGGAGAGTGCCCAGTGTGGGCCCTGGCTCTCATATTGTTCTATTACCTTTGTTGGTATAGTAAGAGTTAGAATGATCCATATGACGTCTTCACACTTAGTGAGCACTTAATACAAGGTCACTGCTATTTGGTGATTGTGCTTTTGTACTTAATTCTGGATATACATGCTCTGTCTGTAGGCTGTCTTAAAATGATATATGCGTTATCCTCCAAGACTTCCTTTTCAAGCTGGGAGGTAGTTAAGTGTATGGATTTCCAAGGATATGTCTGAATACAAAATAAAGACACTACAATATCAGCAAAACTTTAATTAATCAGGGAAAGCACTAACCAGAAGTGGTGCTATACATAAATTTGAGGGCAAAGCAACCCACAGAGAAGCTGCACTCAGAAGAATTAGCCTTGTATAATGAAGATTTGATTGTATTTGCTCTTTAGAGGTATTAAACAATATCTTCCATGCTCTTCATTTCAGATGAGAAAACTTAAGCCCGGGCAAGGAACAGGGCTGGTTTAGGATAACACAGTTAATAGCATAAGCTGAACTAAAGACCAGGGTTCTTGACTCAGCATTCACTGCTTCTTTATTTATGTTTGCATTTTGCATTTGTAAAACTATCCAGTCCTAAAATAAGAAGGCCATTAGTTTTTTGTTTCAAAACTCTCAAAAGCTTAGCAGAAACTCAGTCAAAAAGGTGTGGTTTGGAAAGAACCAGGGAATCCAGATAAGCAGCATAAGGTAGCGAAAGCTAGGTTCGGCTTTTAACATTTGTGCCATTTGGAAACCAATACAGAGCAACTGAAGCCCTGGACTTCAGAAAATTAAAGTAAGTCTGCTTTTATGCTCTGCCCTTTGCACAGATCATCCATTTGGTCAGTGCTGGGTAGCTCATGTCTTTGAATCCATCAAAAATGCCTTGATTTTCCTTTGTCTATTCATTGGCTACAAGGGTATCCTGACCATTCCAGATTTTGGATGGGCTGCCCAGAATCACCATCAACTTTGCTTCTTAGCCAAATAGAGGAAGGCAGAAATGAAAGAGTCCTACCAGTGTGTTTTGTGTGAGTTTCCTTGGACACAAACACAGGAGCAGGGTTTCTTTGGAGCAGCCGATCTCCCCATTTTGAATTTTGCTAAGTCAGGTAGTTGAATTCATTGAGGAATTCTGGGTTTTCTCTGTCTTGGGAAATTACTGATAACATCAGAGTCAGAAGGAGGTGGATAAAATGGAAAAGAAAATTCGTAAGAGTCATGCTAAGATTCAGATTTCCAACCCCACCCAATTCTTCCCCAGCTCTCCTTTTAGCTGCTACTTGCTTCCCAAGAAGCAGAAAACAATAGGCTACTGATTGAATTTAGGTCTAAACATCAGGCAGTTAAAGGGAAGGGAAGTAAAGCATAGTTACATTTAGAATCCAGGTCATATTACTGTGTTTCCATTAGGCAGCGTAGTCTGTGTGCCTAATACTTTACATGATGGCTCTGGCTCTGAAGCCCAACTTGAAAGCTCATTCATTTTGGTAACTATTCTCTTGTTCACAGTTTCTAGTGAACATTGTTGTAGTTAATGTCTTCTGAGAAAGTACAAAGGTTTTGTAGTGAAGAGAAGGAAAAGCATATTAATTCTAATTAATTCTAAATCTTTGGATAAAGGTATAGCCATTAGAAAGCTGAAGTTTATGGTAGGGAGACTAGCATACAAATTTTCTTGTTCCATTTATATTTCCTCCAGAATTTAAGTAACATGTCTACTCTGGTGAACTTCCTAGAGTAGGCACCATATTATTTAGAAAATTTCACTCATTTATCTGAAATTGTCTCACATACAACTGCCACTTGTATGCCTCTTTTTGTTTTATGATAGCCCTTTCTCTGTCTTTCTCTAGCATTCATTCTTCAATTAGGGAATTTGTACTGAAAGTCAATTACATGCCAGACAATACCAGCAGCACAATTGATATCGTGGTCACCAAGGCAGTGTTCCTCTTGTTCATTGCTCTGGAATAAACTACCCTCAAATCTTAAGTGCCCTAAAGCAACAAACATTTTACTGTATCCCACAGTTCAGGAATTCAGGCAGGGCTCAGTTGGGTGGTTCTTTTGATCAACACAGATCCCTCAGCAGTATTTGGCTGGCTCTTGCCTGGCCTAGAGGACCTGCCACAACTTCATTCATAGATCTCATGCCTTGGCAAGGATGGCTGCAAGACCGTCCTCAGCTGTTCCTGTTAACCAGAGCACCCACACAGGTGATTGAACTTACTTTTAAATATATTTTAACTGGCAAATTGAAATTGTATATACTTTATAGGGTACTTTATAGTGTCACATTTCGATAATGTGCACAATGTGTAATGATCAGATCAGGGTAATTGGCATATCTATCACTTCAGACACATCATTTCTTTATGTGGCAGCTTAGGGCTCCAAGTGCTAGTATTCCAGTGACCCAGATGGCAAAGTCCTAGCCTTTTGTGACCCATTGTCTGAAGTCTGAGAACAGCACTTCTACTGCATTTTCCTAGTCACACAATTCACTGAGGGCCAGACCAGATTCAAGAGAGCCAATTAGATTATACCTCTCAATGTAGGAAACACAAAGACTTGGTGAACAGCTTTAACAAATAGCTGCCCTTAAGCAGATTATATCCCTATGGAGTAAGAAGCAGATAGGTCAACAAATCATCCAGAGGCCCAGGCTGCCTTGAATACATGACTAGGAAGCCTATTAAATAGTCAGAGCCTTCTCTGACTAAGCAACAGAGGACCTGGGGTTGTTCCCTTGTTCTTGCCCGTTATGCTCCTGTGACACCCCCTACCCTCCTGCTCAGCATTTCACATTACACCACAAAACAGCCAACTTTGCTGGCAAACACATGCACAGGACACAACACAGCATCGTGCCTGCACACAGCTGCTTCCATCATTCTGATTGGTAACTGTCTGACCAAATTGAGAAATTGCTAAGCAAGTACTAATTATGTGGGCAAGTTCAATCAGAGCTAGCGATTGGTATTGCTGTTCTCTCTGCCAGGACTGTTCCCACTCTTCTTCATCTTACCAACTCTTACTTATCCTTTTGAATTCAGTGTGAGGATCTTCTTCTTACTGTAAAACTGCTTGACTGCCTTCATTTCAATTGGATTTAGATGCTTTCCCTTGGACTCCCTTAGTTCTCTCTTCTCCCAGCTTATCTCCATCATTTCTATACTTTCATATTTTATTGTAATCCTTGATTTACTTGGCTTTCCAGCTTCCTCCCCAAAGAGATGTATTGTAATCCAACAGATATGTCTGGAATTATGATGTCAGCTATATATTAGGTCCTCCCCAAGAGAGCTACAGATGTTAGGGTGATTCAAACTAATACATTCACTCCCTATACATTTAGGTCTTTCAGCCTGGTGGCAAAGGTAAATATTGAATTGCTACAAATTCAATGAGTGTTCCAAAAAGTGCCTGACTGAGTCACACAGGTAGTGATAGGGACTGTGTCATCTTCCCCATTGCTGCCATGGTATCTGGCATACAATAGCACCTCAACACATGTTTAAATGCATGAGTGAATGTTGGCAGTACATTCACTGAATGTTATGTCAGCAGAGTGTCATTTTTCTTATTGTTAAAATCTCCCTAAGATTTTACAAGAGTGGGCCATGATACCTTTTATTAAGAAACCACAGACAGAGGGAGCATTTGGACCCAGTCAAACCTCTTGACTGCCAGTCAGGTTATGCTAGGCCCTACTCATCCCTGGATCAGTCTGCTGTCTGGCTGGTAGCTGCAAGGTAGTGTCTCTCATTACGTGTTTTGCATTTCTCCCCTGTTAACCTTTGACTTCAGCTATCATGGCCCTGTTTACGGATGAAGCAAAGTTCCCCACTGCTCATTATGTCTAATCCTTTGGAATAATTTGTGGTAGCACCTAACAGGCTGTTGTGAGTTAGACCTCTCCTGGGTACACATACTTTGCTCTCTACCATGTTCTGGTGGACCTATTTGGCAGCTACATTGATCCTTTCTGGCAGGCTCTCTTTCTAGTATTGGCTTTCATTGATAATGATTTGTAGATATCAGATTCTTAGAACTGAAAAAATATATAGTCTTTGGAATCAGACATAATTGACTTTGAAGGGACTCTTCCGCTTGCTAGCTTTATTTCTTGGAGCCTAATTTTCTCATCTGTAAAAATAGAGATGGTAATCATGACCTTATAGGGTTAAGTGTATTTATCATGTAATTGATGAGAAAATGATAGTTCCTTCCCATATTCCATCATAATGTATTGACTTTTATATTCAAAGCAGAAATTATTGATTCCTTTTCCCTCCAGGACATCGCTTATTTTGCTGTGTTTTCCTAGGTAGGGATGGTAGTTGCCTCCAGGGCTGACCACACCATTATCAGAATTTCTGGATTGTAGTCATGTGGCAGCCTGGTTTCTTCGCCTAGAGAATCTAGGCTTCATGGCCTCTAGGACAATGGCTTTACTCCAGCTGTAAACTTTTCTTGCAACTCTAGCGTTATGCCAGAATAGAAGGAAAGTGAGAGACATAGCCTAGTTGGAAGAAGTGGGCTGCTGGAGGCATGCCCTTGAAGGTATGTATATATATATATATATATCCCCCAGCCCTTTTCTCTCCGCTATCTCTACTTCATGTCTACCATGCAGTGAGCAGCTTTGCTCTGCCATGCCATTCTGCCATGATGTTCTGCCTCACTGTAAACCCAGAAACAAGGGAACCAGGTGACCATGGCTTGAAACCTCCGAAACTGTGAGCCAACATAAATGCTTCCTCCTTTACATTAATTTTCATCAGTGGTCACAGTGATCAGAAGCTGATTAAAACAATGCAGAAGACTGAGGAGAAGTGAGAAAAAACAAAAAAATACAGCAAAATGGAGTGTTAGAGAACTCTGTCGAAGAGCATTTTGGAAAGATACACCATAGTACATTGGCTTCAGGGAAACTTGGACAGCTCTAGGTATGTTCGACACACAGGATGAGGAAAGTAGTGATGTTCCAATCCAGCTGTGCTCTCATAAATGCCAAAGAGAGCAAGACCAGCTCTCTTTGGATCTAGATCCTCAGACTTTCATAGGGATTAGAATCCATAATCCTGGCCTTCATTATAGAGATTATGTTTTAATATGTAGGACCAGGTACTCTGCATTTGAATTGGCTTCACACATGATTATGATGTTGGTGATATCCCCAGAACACTGGAGTCTCGTGTCCATAAAGTAGCCGATGGTTGTATTGGTAGTTTGGAAACCCTATAACACTCTTTTGGTGAGCTAAAGTCACCAAATCACTAAGTTAGTGAACTGGAGGGGACCTTAGAGGGATAATTTACCAATGCCACACAAAGATGGTACTGCTGGCATTTTTGCCTGGGCCATTCTTTGCTGTAGTGGACTGGTTGTCCTGTGCAATACAAGCAATAGCTCATCCTTGGTTCCCATCCACTAGATTCTAGTAGCAGCCCTCAGTCATTCTGGTGAGCAATTCAAACCTCACCCCATTTATTTTCTCATGCCTCCTAAGGGAGTAATGTCATCCCCACTGAGAACCACTGGTGATGTAGCCCCTTCATTTTATGTGGGAGGAAAATGAGTCCCAGAGCAGAGAAAAGAATTCCTAGTCTCACAGTGGGCTCTTGTAATAATGTACTCTCAGGTCAGATCTCCTCTATCCTATATTTCTATAACTGAGTTGAGGAACCTAAAGGTAGGCTTGCCTCCCAGGCTGGGTGGCAAGCTTTGTTAGAAATGACAGATATCTCACTAGGTCTCTGTTGTTTCTGACAGCATCAAGTACAGTGCTTGCTATATAACAGGTCCCTTGTAGATACTCACTGAGCTTAACTGAACCATAAAATCATCTTTATATGTGGCTCCTTAAAGAGGAACAGGATTTAGACCCCCTCCTAAGCAGTAAGGATTCTTTCAAGAGTGAATGGATTGGGCCAGGGATTTACTTTTTATTTTTTATATTTTTAAATTTTATTTTATTGGTATATTTTAAGCATACAATATAATGACATTCATCATTGGAAATTTGGACCTTTACATGATCTCACTTGGTTCTTATTTTTCCCCCTTCCCCTGCCCTCCCTTCAACCCCTCCATCCCTCCCTATTTACAAAGACTTTGTTTGCATTT